AAAGAGGGAAAAAAAACCTCCTTGAACAAACAGCTGCCAATATTCTGAGCCATTGACTCAGTTTCCAATTCACTCACACTTCAGGTATCCTTAATACTCCAAGGAATAAAACTGATGAAGTGTTTAACCATTCTCGTTATTTTGGGTAGGCATTATCAAAAGTTATAATCTTGGGGGCAGAAAGTATTTGAAAGGTCTTTGTAAGACAGCAGCAGTCATTCTTTCAACATAGACAGTGTAGAGTTGTATTTATTTAACAAATATTTATTGGGTACCTATTCTGAACTCATATGCACTGTGCCATGAGCTGGGGATGCAGTGATAGGTATTATCAGAGAGAGTCCCGGATCTCAAGGAGCTAACTGTCTCACAGGAGAGACATCAATCAAATAATAACAGAAATGTAAAAGAGCAACAGTGATAATTGCCACAAAGAGAGATGTGTGATGTTATGAGGGTGTAATTTACCTGGTCCACCAGCTCTGAGACAACTTCCCTGAGGAAGTGTTAGTTAAGCCAAAATCAGAGGACAGGGTTGGACTTAACTAGATAAAGGCAGGGTGGGAAAAGGGGAGGATTGCAAGGGAGGTGGCGAGGGAGGCCAGATGGTTCAGGCAGGGGGAGTCTGTGCGAAGATGGAGAAGATGTTTATCTGCATATGTTTTATCATCAGTTTTTTCAGACCTGGCACAAATGGCTGTCACATAAAGTCATTCAATGAATGAATAGAATAAATCATCCTATTTTGCCTATAGATTCTTCCTTCACACTTTATGAATTTCCTCCTGCATGTAGAGTCACCCTCTGAATCTTGATCTATTCTGTAACAAGGCAGATGGCTATAACCTTTACTGTTTTATGAACCCCAATCTGTATTTTGAGTCTTAAATATTATAGTTAAGCAAGTAAAAATTAAATTTTCATGTTATCTTGCTTGGTTGCTAGACATCTGGCACCAGTAAGTTATCTTCTCTTTGGCAGAAAATTGAAACCTGCTTAGTCTTTATTATGTTGACCTTAAACATGTTGCAAATTATAATTTTACATTGCCACTAGTTTTATTTTGGGGTAATATATATTACTGGGTCATCCACTTCCCTTTGGCATTTAGCAATTCTCTTTCACAATGAATTTCCGTTTTCTTTGCTTTGTGGTCCCTAAGAGCCCACCCACATTAAGTGCCAATGCTGAAATGTTACTTTGAGGATGACTCACATTGTCTCACACAAGCTTCTGATACCTTACAGAGAAAATGTCTCATCTCAGTTCCCAGCGCAAAATGTAAAATAGCGAGAAAAGTTTTGATCTGTGGCTTGAACCAGCAGGAGTAAACTAGAGAGAGAAAAGTTTTGATCTGTGGCTTGAATCAGCAGGAGTAAACTCCCCAGTTCATCTTTCCGTTAAGTGATGCGCTGGAAAGTGCAGCCATTGGACAGAACTGAGTTTGAACCCTAACCCTGCTGGGATCTGGCAGTGGGTCAGTTACTTTAAACTCCCTTAGCTTCAGTTTTCTCACCAGGAAAAATAGTGAGGTTCTTATGAAATGAAATCAAATGATGTGTGTGGAAATACTGTGCACGTGGAAGGTGCTGAATGAGTTTGTATAGCTTAATTAGCTTCCCTTCTCCTAAGGAACTAGGAATTGAATCTCCTGAAGGGTGGTGTCAGCTCCATGGAGGCGGGGACTGTGCTGTGGTACAGCCACTGCATTGGCAGTGCTTAGCACAATTTCTGGCCCATAGTCAGTGTTCAACAGATTTTGGTTGAATATTCGAAGGTGAAGAACTTCAAGTTTTGAAGATCTCACCATTTTTGATGGGCAAGGTAGAGAGATGACAGGACTCCCTTGGCTGACCCATGCAGTGGAGGCTCGAATCCTAGGAACCTAGTGTCGTGCTTGTAGATATTTATTTGTTGGCTGACCAGCATGTGGACATCTCAGGGGTACTCTCAAGTATGCAGGAAGTCAGAGGGGCATATATCTCCTCTCCCTGCCTCCTGGTACCCAGAGTACCAATCTGTGGCCTGCATTCAGTCAACCAGATACCCCTCCTTAGGGCTTGCAATCCTGGACAGTGATGCAAAGTTGCAAGGTGGTCAAAGGGAAGCTCTAGCAGCCCAAAGGGAGCATCCAGTGGTGGTGACACCAGCAGAGGCATTCTCACCAGACCATTCCTATGGGGCTGTATTTTTGGCTGCTTGGCCTCTCTTGACTCCTGCATAAGCTCAGCTTGCCTAATGTTCCTGTTGCTTGCGTGGGTTACCTATTGGTTTTCCAATAAATTTCCTTTCTGCCAAGTCAGCCAAGTTGGTTTCTATTGTCTACATCCAATAATTCGAGTCCTAGTACACTGCTCCTGCCCCTGGCCTTGGTCTCCCAATGTGTCAACTCATTAAGCACTGTTTCTAGGGATGCATTTCAAAGTTACTTTTGCATCGTTCTCAAAATCTCTTCTTCAAGATTTTTTTTTTATTATTCTTTGATATCCTTAGCAATTCTACAAAGTGCATTTTATGTTCTTCAATGAAATGGAATTATGTTCCCTCTGAACACTCTTTGTTTCTCCATTTGTTTTCACATTTCCCAGCCCCCAAGATTCATTTCTCGTTCATCTTCTCTTTTTACTCAATACTCATTTCCCCTTAGGGTTTGTGCGATTTACTAAGCTTTTATTGTGCATGAACTACATGCCAGATATTATGCTAGGGACAGGGATCCAAAGATGAATAAGACAGAGTTATCACCTGTGTGAAGAGAATAGTTGAGTGAATAAAATGTAAAATAGATGAACACCAAGGCAGGCAACAGAAGGTATCACACTTCCCCAAGCAAGGAAGAAAATATCAGAGACACATAAAAGCTTGGGATTTGATTCTGTATCATATCTCTTTCTACAGCGATGAGGCTCATTTACTCTATCGGTGTTTAACCTGCGCCAGTACATGCCAAGCCCCGTGCAGTGTCAGGGTGTTGGTAATCTCTCCTTATTTCTCTCTTATCTTTTTGAGGGTGTGAGTTATCTATAGCTCTGTGTGTATGTGTGTCACAATACTTACTTTGTAATACATGAACAACTAGAGAGACATTCTGGAATGTACAGCCGGAGCTGACAGCAAGCTGCTCGGCTGAATGTGACTATAGTCGCTGCTCTCTTTGAACTACATTTTTTTTTTTTTCGCTCATGTTACTGCTTCTCCTGAGAACCACGCTGGCACATTTTTTCCCCTTAGATTCTCACTGCTGCCTATAATCCATCATTACAAAGAGAGGCCTTAAAAACAGCACTCGGGGGAGACATTGTTTCCTTCCCATTTCGCTCTCAGAAAGAGCAGCTTATAATGGGAGGGGAAAATTGCATTTAGGTTAAAGGAATATATATAACAAGAAAGCATCTGCTTCTACCCCTCTTTAAGATGCTAAGCTTCAAAAGCCCTCCTGGTTTTAAAAAAGGCCATCACCCCTTGGCCTGCTCTAAACATTAATATTATATGCCTGGTAATAAAGCCAGAGGATTTTTTGTGAGAGCCATTAAAGGGAAAGGATGGCCAAGACAGATTTCTCTGGTGAATGAAAATCACAGGCTCATAAATAGAACCTGTGAGGTTAGTCTTGTGGTTAGCTAGTACTTTAAATTTGCGATTCCCCCGATTATATTGGTTGATGGGAACTGCTGACCTTTTCTCAGACGAGGCTGTGATGCTCAAAATTATGACTTAAAAAGAGAAAGTACAAGAATTCCTAAGGCAACCAAAAGTCCAGCAGCACCAGGTTAAAACACGCCTGGTACATGAACGTCAGAGTACTGATAAGAGGGGAGAACAGAGTAAATGCAATTTTCTCCCCATAAAAGTTAATTTTGCCATTTGAAACTGCCCTATGATATTTATGTCATTCATCAAACAAGATTGTCACTGACCCCACAAAATTTTCATCACCTTTCTTCACATTTAGCTGGTGTCAAATGACTACTTAGCTGATGCTTATTATTAGCCATAGGTTAATAATTTTACTGCTAATTATGAGACTAGAAAGTCTAAATTTTTTTTAATTGAGCTCTTTCGGTGCACCCAACCCAATTTTTCCTCACGCTAGGGGTGTGAGTACCTCCTAGTTTAAATAACTAAGGAAAGTCTCAGCACAGTTCCCAGTGAAATGCTGTGCAAATCTCCACGTGGTTACGGATGCAGCTATGGTGGGCGCTCGGGGTTTGTTCGGTTTCCTTACATTTTTGAAAACCGTTTACATACCAGACTTGAAGCTCCTTATCTAACTTGTCACAGAGTACGAAGGCGCCCGCTCCCTGGCTGTGTGCAAGGAGCTGTGGTAACATTAGTCATAATTCTGTGGTTTTCAAAGAGTCAAGGACATTATTTCTCCCTGATGAAAAAGAGGCCTTTGCCCACGTTGCATTCTCTCTCTCTTTCTTTTTAATGTGGTTTGACAACTTGAATTCAGAAGGAGATTTCACAATTAGAAGAACGAGATCGAACCACAGCATCTGTGCTCACAGCCCCCTTAGCTGCTCTAGTTAGGATTCCCTTATTCCATTTCTAGTTCTCAGGAGAGGACAGGGGACTTTTTAATTGGAGCTATTAGACGTTCTCTTTGTACAATGACACCCTCTGCTAAGCGAAGGCTCCAGCAAAAGCCATGCCCACTCTGCAGTTACTTCTTGCAATTCCGAGGAATAATGGTATCTTGTCTCATTTAAAAATAAACCTGAGGCTTATTCCTTATTGCTTTTTCTCCTCTGCCTACTCACATGGATTTCTTCTTGCCAATTAAACCAAATTTCCATTATTTAAGCAGGTAGTTTTGATCATAACTGTCGCCTGATAATAAGACATATTAAACTAGATTTCATTTGCTCACAGCTCCTTTCTTCCAGCTACAAGACTAATTTAAATGAGCTCAGATCACTCAATCTTATGTTTACTCAATAGTGAGTGGTGAAGTGTTGGAATTTCATAAGTGGTACTCTGCATGTCGCAGAACTCACCTGAAATAACCTGCACGTTCAATGTTTGCAGTTTCTCAGAATCACTTCCTCTTAAGAGGGCAGATGTAGGTCTGTATTTATGACCTATTCCAAGAAAAGAAATTAAATATTTAGATGATAAGCAAGCACGTTCTTAATGTATATTCCCCAAGGAAAATGGGCCATTCACAGCAGAGCCTGGAGTAACAAGACATTAACAGCCTCTTCTTATTAAGTTATTTTCCATTAACAAATAGGTACTTTCTAAAACCAGTGGCTTCTCCACTGCCATAAATGCCATTATGCATCTCTTCTTAAATGCAGAATATTATTTACATTTTTACATACAATAGATATATACAGAATATTTGATGTATATTGATGTATATTTAATGATATTTAATGTCATAAATGGTGTGGTATTTTTCCCTACTTCATATGCTTGGATTTTCAAGGCAAACTTTTGAAAGCCACTAAGCCTGTCATTTAGATAGATGTTCATAAAAACTTAATGTCGCTCCCCACTATTGATCTCTTTCTAGGCATTTTTTTCTATCTGGCTTCTATTCTCTCTTTCCTAATATGTAATCATTTATAGAAAAACAGATCAAGAAACTCAAAACTATGCACCAATTGCAAATGACACACATTTATTTAAAATAATATAATTTTCAAAACTAGAAAGACCCTGGGTCTTAATTCTGTCATTTTATTAGCTGTATTACTTTGGACAAAACAGTCTCTCTGAGGCTCAGGGGTTTTTTTCACCTATAAAAAATGAAAGGAATAGCACATACCCTGTTTATAAACTTTGAGAATCTAGTAAAAATCTCATGAAAATGTTCTGAAAATGTTTATTCTACAAATATGCAATACTGATGATGTTATTAACCAATGCATTTAGGGCCTTATATACTAAGGTACCAATGACAAGACTTGATATGAAACTGCTCTCAGAAATATCTCCAACAAACACTTAGCCAAAAAAATTAATGAAACTTTCACTCAACCCTACAGGCAACCACTCTTTCTGCCTACTGAAAGGACTAACACAGCCTTACCTGGTAAAGAACACAAGAGCCTTGGGAAATACTACACCAGCACAACGCTACTATCCTTTATCGAGAACTACTAGGCACAGGGCACTGTGTTACACTTCTTATGTAATCTCTTTAGTTCAATCCTTACCTCAGCCCTGTGGGAATGGTGATTATTCTTGTTTTACAGAGGAGGAAAGGGACACTCAAATATGGCAAGTAACTTGCACAAAGTCACATAACTAGTAAGTGGTAGCACTAGGATTCTAACCAAAGTCCACCTGACTCCAAAGCGTAGTCTTGTAATGACACATTATATCCTGTCTTTAAGAGACCAACTACTTATATTATAAACTGTCCATCAGGTCTGATATTCAGCCAGTATGTGCATGGGTGCACACCAGAAGGGTCATGTATACATGCTCACACACCAATAGGGCCAGTATATACACGGGTGCACACCAGAAGGGTCATGTATACATACTCACACACCACTGGGGCCAGTATATACATGGGTACACACCATAAGACCATGATAGTAGTTGACAGTCAGTGTCCATTCTGATAGGTGGATGCCCGTGTTATACTAGTTAATTCTTTTTTTTTTTTTTTTTCTTGCGTTATGTGGGCCTCTCACTGTTGTGGCCTCTCCCATTTGCGGAGCACAGGCTCCGGACGCGCAGGCTCAGCGGCCATGGCTCACGGGCCCAGCCGCTCCGCGGCATGTGGGATCTTCCCGAAACGGGGCACGAACCCGCGTCTCCTGCATCGGCAGGCGGACTCTCAAGCACTGCGCCACCAGGGAAGCCCTAGTTAATTCTTTTTTAATATCATCCCTACTTCCTGATTTTCAACTGCACATTTTAGTGCTTCACAGTCAAAAATCAACTGTCCCCCCCACACTTGTTAAAGATTGACTCCTGCTCATCACCTAGAGCCTAGAGCTCAAGACCTCCAACTCTGAAATTCTTTATCACCACTCCCTATTCTTCTACCCCTCTTCTGCCTTCACTTCCACCAAGCTCTGCTCAACCTCCAGTCTGCCAACTCCTTCCAGTTCACACAGCCTTTCTTCCCCTTCTATTCACTTGTCTGGGCTGGAAAAAGACACATGAAAATCCTTGAGTGCTAGCACTATGTCTTACTTATACTTATGTTCCTTGGGTTACCTAGAATCACCACTTACACACAGTGGGTGCTCAGTTAGTGGGAAATTGAACTAGAAAAAGAAATCGAACCTACAGATAAGATTAGGAGTACCTTGATACTAGATGAATTCTCCCAAAAGATGGATTTATTTTTCAATACTTACCCTGGCACTTCTGCACTCTCCTGTGGGCTTCAAGTATTTTGTGGATAATGAAGATGAGCAAAAATATAAAAACTAATAGAACCAGAACATACCAAGTGATCTTCATGGAACAAATAAAATCTGCAAAGAAAAATGTACTATAAAAATACGGTAAAATGATGCAGCAGATAAGAGGCAATATGGTGATGTAGCTGGCTTCTACTATATATTCAGCCCATAACTGAAAAGTTGAATATATAACCATCACTGTTACAAGGTCACTTGCTTTCCTGAGTTCTTTCCTAACGTATTAAATGAAGAAACATGACCAAGTGGTTTCCAGGGATCCATTTAGTTTCAAAATTCTAGGATTAATTTCACTTCCAAGTTATATTGATGTTAGTTTTGCTATCATTGCTATCACTAGGTTAAGACCACAACAAGCAGAGTGCCAGAATCAGAGCCATTTGTGATTAACAATTTGGCCCTGGACCAAGCAGCCAAAAAATGTATCCTCAAATCAACAAAGATGCAGTGTGTAAGATGAGGATGGGGAAGAAAGGAAAGGCAAAGAAAGAGGTTGGATTGAGGCATATAAGAGACCAGGGTAGATGATTAATCAGACCTTCTTTCCACAGGGGCTCGCGTGGCAATGATCAGATCAAGTGCATGCATTAGTTAAACAAACAGTTACTCTCACCTAAATTTAATAAGGATACAGGTAAAAAATCGCTCATTCAAATGACAGTGAGGCAACGTGGAAGTAGAGTCACCATCAGCAATAGCTTAGCACGATATTCTTTCGTCCCATAAACACACACTGGCCAGCAGACCCAGGAATCAGTGACTTAAAGGAGGTTGACTTCATTATGTCCAGAACACAATTGTCTACTGACTTTCTAGGCCACCCTATGTACTCTCTTCCTTGTATGCAAAACGCAGCTAGTACTTATTCAGCTTAGCAGGATATATAACTTGTTAATACCCTTAGATGACTGCTCTTTTGGGGCTCATGATCTGGGTACCCCTTTTACAGGTCCCCCACTCCATAAGCAGATGTACATTAAATAGGCAGTGAACATTTATTTAGAGAAGACACTGAATGGAGAAGGTAGAGGTTGACTGGAATGGCAGCACTCGGCCTTCCTAACATCATTCCATACTATTTAGACTTGCGCACCTCACTCAGAAAAATAAAAGCATGCAGCTAACTGGCATAGAAAATGTGCAGTGCCAGCAAGAGTCAAGGTGGGCCCAGTACCAAGGTGTCATGAGGCACTGATCAAGCTATGAAAAAAGAACCATGCATTCACCAACTTTCTATTACAATAGCAGAATGTACACAGTTGGGGCCAAGCCAGCCAGAACACCCACCAAAGCACCAGTGAGAGCACAGGTGAGTGTATCTCCCTACATCCTATGCTGTCCCCCTACTCCCCGTCCCTGTAGCCGTCTTGGAGAGGAACAAGGGGAAATGGACAGGAATCTGAAAAAATCTAAAGAGGTAGATTAAATTATTTTTTCTGAGTAAATTCACTGGACTGGACTAAATTTAGTCCCCACCCCACCCCGCCCTCCAGTAGATAGGACTTTTAAGGGAGATCAAATTAGTCTTTGCACAGCAGAGTAAAATATGAATAAATTTTTAATCTTCTACGCATGGCAAAATAGGTATACTTTTTCCCGAATACAAGACTATATATTTGCACTACTATGTATAAAATAGATAACTAATGAGAACCTACTGTATAGCACAGGGAACTCTACTCAGTGCTCTGTGGTGACTTAAATGGGAAGGAAATCCAAAAAAGAGGGGATATGCATACATGTATAGCTGGTTCACTTTGCTGTACAGCAGAAACTAACACAACATTATAAAGCAACTATACTCCAATAAAAATTACTTTAAAAAAGACTACATATTTGTACACCTCTGTTATCTTTCTGATTTATGGACCCATAAAAGCTGTCAATTACTATTTCACTTTGACTGGAATTTATGATTTTTTCCATTAATGCAAAAATTAATTCTCAAAATAACGAATATGGTAATGCTTATTTTTCCTTCATGTTTTAGAAAACATAAAAAGCAATTAGATAGATACATAAATGGACATTGAAACAAATATAAGTTTTTAAATATCTATAATCCAAACCTCTTTATCTTTCAGATTTCACCATAGTCTCCTTCTCTATGTGGTCTTTTCAAAACCTCCAACCTCATTCCTGAGCCAGAGGGAATTAACCCCTCCGTTCAGCTTCTCAGATCCTCTCCCATACCCCCTACACATACACACACCTTGAAATACCCCCCTAACTGCAGAGACTGTAGGGCCTTGGGCAAACTAACTCACAGGAGAAATTTATTTGAAGTCTTATATTTCACTTTAAAAATGCATGCATATTATATATATATATATATAACATTTTAAAATAATTACCTCTAATAGAATTAAAGCTTTAGAAACTCATTCTAAGGCAATCTGAAAGGCTTCCCTATGTCTGGAACCTCAGAAAACACAGCAAGTTACTCTGCCATAGCACCTGTCCCACTGATTGCACTGACTCCATTGTTTTCCATACATCTATTTCTGTGTCTCCAGTGCCTGGCACACTGACTGGCATACAGCAGGCACTCATTAAATGGTTATATCATAAAATGCTCTTCAAGAGTAGAGTTTATGGGTCAAGTGAGGGTACCCTGCTTAGTAGTGAGGATCAACTGCGTTAATTCAGAATAGGGTGACTAGAGTGTTAATCAACCTTAAGCAGAATTAAGATATATGTAAGTTTTATATTTCAGACTCCTACCTTTCCCTCAGAGTCATCCAGTGCCTCAAAATGCTTAATCTGTACCCCACCTAACTTCATAGCAATATATCAAAAATCCCTTTAATTCAGGTCTGTTTCTCAGCTCTAAGAGAGGACATGTTAAATCAATTCAAAATTTAATAGCACATCACAATGTATATGTATATTTACATTTAAAAAGAAATATCATCCTTTAATACACAAGTGTGATAGTGTTACCTCAAGCACAGCTAATAGGCATTCCCAGAAGTTATTCTGGGGCAGAGGGTCTTTCTAATGCCCCTCAAATCACAACCCATAGACGTCTCCTCCACCTCTGAGCACAGCTGGGTTCCACAAAAAGCACATTTTGAAAGAAAAATAAACAGATAAAGGGCTAACATTCTATCCAGCGTTGCTATTTCATCAATAAAATTCTTCAACTATTCGACTTTCAATGCAGTTAATGTGATAGTCCTTACTTAACTTTGTGTCTATATTCCATTCTCCTTTTCCCTCCGATTTCCTTAAAAACTTACATTTTACATCCATGTCTAGGTGCAAAGAAATATTTATACAATTAGTCGGGTGTTCCATAATTCTACAAGTATGGTTTATATCTGTTTCCTTGGTTGGATCTTCCTCTTCGATTGCTGACCTTCTAGTGTGTGTTTTTAGATTACAGGTAATGTTATATTCCTCCAAGTGGTCAACCACAGGAGTTACAGTGAAGTTAAAATATTGACAAGGTGAATGAAAATCATTTGCCTTCACTTCCGTTGATCCTCTCATGATAAGAACTAGAGAGAGATTAAGAAAATGTTATTCACAAAAAATAGTAGTACATAGTAAGAAAACACATACAACTCAAAACTAAATCCCCTCCTTCCTATACAACAAAAAAGAGTAGAAACAAGAAGTTACCAGCACTAAAAATAACAATTACAGTGCTTACATTTTTTAAGAGAGTGAAAACTAGGTGAGTTTGAAATAAAATTGGAGCATCTCAAAGAAAAAGAAAACATTTCCCTGATGACTTGTGGGACAGATTTTATTTTCCAAAATGGCCACAACAGTATTTCCCATCCCACATTATACTAGTTTGCTAGGGTTGTCATAACAAAGTACCACAAAATGGGTGGCTTAAACAACAGAAATTTATTGTCTCACAGTTCTGGAGGCTACACTTTCAAGATTAAGGTGTTGACAAGGTTCCTTCCTTCTGAGGGCTGTGAGGAACAATCTGTCCCATGCTTCCCTTCTAGCTTCTGGTGGTTTGCTGGCAGTCTTTAGTGTTCCTTGTCTTATAGAAGCATCAGCCTGATCTCTGCTTTCATCTTCACATGGCATTCTCCCTATGTGTGCATGTCTATATCCAAATTTTTTTTATTTATAAGGATGCATCAAGGATTCAATGACTTCTTAGGGAATCAAAGTGTGATTTTATATGAGAACCTGCAAGTTTACTTAGAATTTTTTCAGTACTTTTGAAGAGAGCTTGCTAAATAATACTTTAACCATTAAATGTACATGGATTATAGTGGCATTTTGATGTATTTTAAGCATAAATTATTTGATAAAGTAAACCAAGAACAAGTTATTATACTATCTCAAAGCCTGTAAGTCACTCATTAAGCACCACACAGCTGAGTGTTCCAGGGCCACTAGACTTAAAATTGGGATGTATTATTAATACTTTTTTAACAGAATAAGGTTATTTATCCTTGATAATTTTAATTCTCACTTTTCTTTTGCATTTACCTTTTGATGTTTGTTCCTGAGACATAAAATCCATGTTTCCTTTGGACTCACAAGCCAAACATGGGGAGCACATTTTAAATTCACTTGTGATGTCTTGGCAAATCCTGGTGAAGTTTTGAAAACTGGAGTGATTTAGAAAGATTCCCATCATAGTCTGAGTTTCTTTTATTGGTTGCAGAAAAGTCACGAAAGAAAAATTTAAAGAGGAGAATGAATAGGTGAAATTAGGTTGTAAACATACTTCCAGGCATGATAGCTCCAACGTGTTTCCTATAAAGGAGAAAACAAAACAAAACAAAACAAAAAACAACTTTCTTTACTGTAAGCTTTTGAGTTTTGGGCATTCAAATGAATACACAATAAGCTCCCAGTTTTTCTTAGGCAGATTCAGTACATTTCAGTTTATCACTGACAAGACTTTGTTTTCACATGAATTAACAATATCTAGTCCATTTAAATATTTTTTTAAAATTTTGTCAACATTCCCTATTAATTTTCAGAGAAGAGAAGTCCTGCTGAGAAGTTCTTTGAAACCCTAGCATTGTAACCATTCTCTTTTCTAGGAAAGTTTTAATGGACGAACCTTAGTTTCCTCTGAATCCATCTGTTCCCAAATAGAGGTTCAAGTGAATTGCATGGAGTTGAACAGGGAATGGAAAACTTGAACAGTATCTCTGTATTGGTTTCTGAGGGCTGCTGTAACAAACTACTACAATCTTGGTGGCTTAAAACAAGAGAAATTTATTCTTTTACAGTCCTGAAGGCCAGAAGTTCAATGCCAGTGTTACTGTTCTGAAATCGAGGCCACACTCCCTCTGAAGACCTTGCACCTCTTCCAAATTTTGGGGACTGTTGGCATTCCTTGGCTTGTGACCACATCACTCCAATCTCTGCTTCCATGGTCACATTACCTTCTCCTCTGTATCTCCATCTTCTACTCTTCTGTCTGTGTCAAATCTCCCTCTGCCTCTCTCTTATAAGGGCACTTGTGATTAGATTTAGGTCCCACTGAGATAAGGCTCAGGATAATCTCCCCATCTCAAGATCCTTAACTTAATCACATGTATAGAGACCCTTTTTCCCTATAAGGTAACATCTATAGGTTCCCAGGGATTAACACCTGATATATTTGGGTGACCATTATTCAACCTACTTGAAATTTAATAGGATAACATCATAATTTTTATTTTGGTGTGAAGACAAGTATCAGATTTGGAAATAATGGCATAATAGAAGGAAGACTGAGTTCAAAGCAAAAGATAAAGACTTTAGTGCTAAAGCTGTTATTAGCCAAGATACCTGAATAATTTACTTTGTCTCCACAAGTCTCATTTTCTCATTAGCAAAATAGAGATAATAACAAGATCCTGCTAACCTTGTGGGGTTATAGTAGCATCAAGTGATATATATGAAAATATTTTTGAAAATTGTTCAAATGTATATTATTAAAATGCAAACCCATATTCCAAAGTAAAAATTTAAACTTCATCCTTTATTTAAGATGAGATTATGTAAGATTTAATCCACATGAGTAATTAAAGCTCACTATATGAAAATTGGGAATCCCTATGTAGCAGTAATGATAAACTAAGGAATAGGTAACCTCTCTTTCAGATATTCTCAGTTTGACAGTCATTTACTAGCATGAGAAAATAGCTGACACGCTCAGTTCCACATTTATGTGGCTTTCTCTACCATTTCTCATAATCACATGGGGCAAAATATATTTTTAAAATTTTCTAAATAATGTGGAGCACAATGAAAGAATTACTTCACTTTTAAGAATGATTACTCCTAGTCATCTTGATTCAAACGTAAAAGAAAATCAAACTATTGATTTATATTAAAGCACATTTTTTACTTGTTGAATTTGTACTTTGATAGTAATTTCATAATTGTTTCATTACTGATGATATTTTTATTACTTAACAAATTAAAGGTTCATTTACCAGCCCTCTACATTTGAAATTGCTTCTGTAATAATTCACATGTAATTTCCAGCTATAAACACATTTCATACTTGAGTTGCTATAAAAGTTTTGGGAGGTAGAGATTGTATTTTAGTCAAATACACAATTTTGTAATGTCTCAATATATTTGTAAACAAAGTTGTAATCAAATTAAAACTAATTTTTTAAAAAATTGTCTTCAATAATAATGTCTCAAAAAGAAGATAGGAATGTACCATTTGATAGAAATCTATAATCTGTAGATTTTTTATATTACTAAACACATGAAAAAATTATTTCTTGCCATCTTTCCATTTTCCTCACTGGCATTTTTCATCTTATGAAATTTTCAACTTCTTGAATTTATATTCTTATGTTATGACCTAGAAGGGAGATAGAGAAATTTTTACTGTCATAGAGAAATGCTTACTGTCAATATTGCAGTCTTCTTATCCAATAAGTGACAAACTTGGCTTTCTAGAATTGTTGAGATATATCCATTGTATTTGGCTATGAGGTCATTTTATGATGGTTTTTAAATCTTAGTTTTAAATAATTCAATTAGGAAAGAAAGAAATACAGGACATATCCTTCCCCAGTATAATTTTAAGAAATAAATGAATTCTACTCAATCATTTTTGTTATCAGGTGGGCTGTATTCTCATCTTCATAAACAAGGATATAAGAATTTAACTACTGCCATTAATACTGCTGAGTCAGACATCTAAATTCTCACTCCCAGAGATAGAAATGCATTCCAGAATTACTCCAGTACTAAGACTGCAATCTTTCAAGATAAGGATATAGAATACTAACTAGAATTAGGAAAATAAGTTACAGTATAGGACAAATGCCCAAGTCAATGATTTTTTCTTTTTAAAGAAAAGCAAAGAGTAAGGTTAAACTGTCTTTATTTTCTTTTTAAACTTTTATTGTAAACATATATCATATACAAGCATATATAAAATGTATCATTCCAGTTAAAGAACAATAAAAATAAATGAACACCCATGTATCTATCACACAGATTAAGAAATAGAATATTAGCAACATCTCTGAAGCACCCTATCCCTCCCTGCCCCTACATACTCCTTCTTTCACAGAGGTTAAGCACCACATTGAACTTTGTTGCATTAGCATACTGTATACATATATATGGACTATATTGTAGGTATTCATCTATGACTTGATTTTTTTGCAGAATATGTTTTAGTCGTGTTGCTACACATGGCTGTAGTTAATTATTTGTGGTACGTTTTGAATGAATATACTACAATTTATGTATCTATTCTTCTGACAGCATTTGGGTTGTTTCTATTTTTGCTGTTCTGGATAATATTGCTATGAACCATAACTCTCATACATTGTTGGTAGGAATGTAAAATAGTACAACCACTTTGGAAAACATTTTTATTTTCTTTAAGTTAAACATATACTTAGCACGTGACCCAACAATTCTACTCCTAGGAGTTTACAAAAGAGAAATAAAAACATATGTCCACACAAATACCTGTACATGAATTTTCATGGCACCTTTAAAATTTATAATAGCTAAGAACTGGAAACAATCCAAAAGTCCAACAACTAGTGAATATATAAACAATTCCTGATATATCCATAGAATGAAATACTACTCAGCAACAAAAAAGAAGAAAATGCTGATACAAACAACAACACAGATGAATCTCAAATGCATCATGCCAAAGGAAAGAAGCCAAACACAAGTGACTATATACTAATGTGATTCCATTCATATGAAGTTCTAGAAAATGGAAAACTATATTGATAGTGGGAGAAGGGTTCTTCTGCAAAGGAGAAAGAGGGACATTTTGGAGGTATTGGAAAGCTGTATATCTTGATTGTGTTGATAGTTACATTGCTGTAAACATTTGTCAAACCTCAAACTTTATACTTAAAAATGGCAGCATTTTATTACATGTAAATTATATCTCAATAAAGCTTATTTTAAAATAGCGCTACTATGAATATTCATGAACATGTCTCCTGGTACACAAATACAGAAGTTTCTCTAGCATACATATTGAATTAAATTGCTGGGTATTCAGTATGCACATCTTTGATTTTACTAGAAAATGCCAAATCATTGTACAAAGCAGTTGGACCAATTTAATCTCCCACCTGCAGTGTATAAAGGTTTCCCATTGACACATATCTTGGCCAGCACTTTTCAAGTTTTGACAATTCAATGAATGTTAAATAGAACTCATCATGGTTTAAAAGTGTATTTTCATGGTTTTCCCTACTTTTTCTATTTTTCCATTTTTCTGGTAGGTTGTTTGTCTTTTTCTCATTAATGTTTAGGAGTTTTTAACTTTCCTTTTTAAAATTTTAAGAAGTTCTTTACATTTTTTATTAAGATATCTTCTCACAGTTTGTACCTTGTCCATTCATTTTCTTTATGATCTTTTAGTTAAAGGAAGCTCTTAACTTGAATGTATTGAATTTATCAATCATTTTCTTTACAATTTGTGCTTAGTGTCTTGTTTAAGAAATCCTTCTCCTGGACTTCCCTGGTGGCACAGTGGTTAGGAATCGCCTGCTAATGCCAGGGAGATGGGTTCAAGCCCTGGTCCGGGAAGATCCCACATGCTGCAGAGGAGCTAAGCCCATGCGCCACAACTATTGAGCTTGAGCTCTAGAGCCCACGAGCCACAACTACTGAGCCTGCGTGCCACAACTACAGAAGCCTGTGCACCTAGAGTCCATGCTCCACAACTAGAGAAGCCACTGAGGTAAGAAGCCTGCACACCACAACAAAGAGTAGCCCCCACTCGCCACAACTAGAGAAAAACCCACACAAAGCAATGAAGACCCAACACAGCCCAAAATAAAATAATTAAGTAAATAAATTTATAAAAAAAAGAATCCTTCTCCTTTAAAAAGATCTTCACCCACATGGTCTTCTAAAAGTTTTGAAGTTTTGCCTTTTATGTTTAAGTTCTTAAACTATCTGATACTGTGTACAGTATGAAGTAGGAAACCAGATTAATTTCTCCCACATGTGATAATCAATTGTACTACCAATTTTAAGTAGTCTATCTTTTCCCCACTATCTGTAATGACATCTCTATAATCTATCAAAAGTATCCATGTATGTATGACTGTGTTTCCGGGTTCTCAATTTTGTTCCATCAGTCCATTTTTCTATCTTGGCAAAGATATCTTACTGACTTAATTACTTTTGCTCTGTAAAGCTCTTATATCTGACAGGAAAAATCCCCTCACCTTGTTCATTTTCTGTAGGAACATCTTAGTGATTCTTGGCCCTTTGCTCTTTCCAATACATTTTAGAATCTGCTT